GAAAAAGAAAAAGAAAAGTAGCTTCAGTTCAATTATAAATTTATCTCTTACTCCGTGGTTGCAACTTTCTTCATTCTATAATTTATCCTATCTAATCATCAAAACCATAAATCGTAAGTTCCTCTTTTGCTGTCCCTAAAGATTTCTAGCCAACACTTTGTGTGGATATTTTCTTTGATTAAAGAAATCAACTTTTCAGCAAGTTTTATTGTCTTCACCAACCATTCCTCCTTTGTGAATACTAAATCTTTCTATCTTTGTACATACAATAAAGTTGCTCATGTACAAAAACAAAGTTGCATGATTTTTTTCCAACTGTTTGTCACATACTTCAGTGTATGTATTTAAATCCAAAATTTTCTAGCTTTTTTACGCATCCATCAAACATGATGAAATGTTCCCTTCTTGTTGAGATTTCCAACATAAATGAGATGTTTTTATATATTCAAGACAGCTTGATGATATTTACCAACAATACATCATTTTATAAAATTCTCCTTAAAATGATAACATAGTGTAAATTTCAGTTCTTTCCACAACATATTTTCCCATTGTCCTATTTGTATATTATTGTAATCAAATTTTTACTCCTCTTTATCATACATTCTTTCACTTATTCTTCTGTTTCACACATCAAGAAAAGTTTATGTTTTATCAATTATATGTTCATCACTTGTATACAATTCTATTCAAACTCAGTCTAACAATGTTCAAAATCATAAATTCTTTTGTCTACTTTAAATCTTTCTAATAATTGAAAATAAGAGAACCATTGATGTCTGTCTGTCTGCCTGCCTGCCTGCCTGCCTGCCTGCCTGCCTGCCTGCCTGCCTGCCTATCTATCTATCTATCTATCTATCTATCTATCTATCTAGCTATCTAGCTATCTAGCTATCTAGCTATCTAGCTATCTAGCTATCTAGCTATCTCATATTTATGTAGCTGCCCATTTTACAAAAAGTGACTCTGGGTGATATACAACAATCAATGAAAACAACAAATATATAAAAATAATTATAAACATATAAAATTATTATAAATTAAAAATGCTACCAAATTAAAATATACAAACCATAAGTAAAAAGGTCAACCTTTGTGGAGCCATCTGGTTCTGTGGAATGGTGGTAAAGCTAGGTCTCAAGGTTTTGCCGGCATATAGTTCAGAGTGATAATGAGGAAGAAGCTAATGTAACTTTAGGGGGGAGGGGGATATTCCATAAGGTGGGTATTGCAGTAGAGAAGACCTGCCTCCTGAATGTAGGTCTCTGGCAGATGATAACTGTAACATGCCTTCTCTAACCCTTCTCTTCTAAATCTAATTGGACAGACAGATGTAATCAGGGAGAGGTCATCTATGCATGCCATCAGGGGTGTCAAACTCGATCGCATTGCAGATCAGATCGTGACATATCGCAATGTTTTTTGCCTTTGCAGAGCCGGCGTGAGCATCGCCTGCATGGGCCATATCCAGCCTGCGGGCTGCCAGTTTGACAAGCCTGTATGCCAGGAATATCTCTGTCACCAGTTCATCTCTTGATTTATTTTACATTTCCTTGACAAAATTCTCCTGTCTCATGATAAATTAGCTATTTGTGTTTTGCTATTATTACATTATAAAATGCTTCATATGTTGCAAGTCACAAAGATGATTCTTACTTTTTTTTTTTTTTTTGATGAACAGTACATTTCAAAGATTGGGTCATTTTGCTGCTGAAATTTGGTATGTACACCCAGGATCCTGTCCTACTCAACATCTTCACCTTATTTGACGCCTTCAGATTCCTGTTCTATAGCACATTTAGATATGTCACATAGTACAAAATGTTTTCTTTCTGTCAACCATATCTAGAAGGTCATGCAAATGTGTTGTTGTTTAACATTTAAGTTATTAACCTGGAGATGCCCAGAGAATTCCATTTTGTCCATTGGATTATTCCATGCCTACAGGAACTACTGGGATAGATGATCTTAAGGTTTAGAGCTGTTGCCATTTATATTTCTCCCTGCTTTCTCACAGCTGATTCCTTTGGCATGCCTCAGTTCAATTACGGACTAGATAAGAATAAATAAATAAAAATCAAATCTTAATAAGATGGAGATACTTTTGAAAAAAAACGCCACAATCTGGAATTCAATTTTAGCCTGCTATGAATGAGGTTGCATTCTCCTTGGAAAAGCAGGTTTGCAATCTGCGATATTTGACTGTTTCTGGATCTCCATGTAGTGGCAGTGGGAAGGAATGCATATCCACATTTACATTTAGTTATGTTAGTAGCAAATATTTTAATTATATTAAGTTTGATAGCTACAGGTGCTCTATTTATAATAAAGTTATAATTGAAGAACCTCTGAAAACTTCAGTCATTGCAAAATATAGTAGCTAGGTTGCTAAGTGGTAATGATGCAGAATCATCTTATTTCCAGATTGAAAAATGTGTACTGGTGGATTCCTCCCTAAAATGGTTGCTGAATGATAGGAACTTTTCTTTTTCCTGCTGACAATCTGCCAATTTTGCTGTCAAAACTGGTTCTTTGGCAGAGCTGCTCCCTGGATTTGAATGGGAACACTTAGGAATGACTCAAGATAGCTGTTGGATGTCTGTGGATCCACCTGGGAAGGGGAGTCTTGAAGATTCCAGTTCCCTCTGGGAGTTATGAGAAAGTCATGGGCATCTGTCTTTTCTCCCAGCAGTTCATTTTCTTAAGAATGTTTGGATTTTAACTTCACTTTTTGAAGCTTTTGTTTTATTTTTATTTTTAATCTCTGAAAGTTGACCAGCTAATTGAATAGTGATTTATTTTACCCCACTGCTGGACTTCTGTTTTTTTTTTTCTCTTTCCCTTTGATTTATGTTGTTGTTCTGAATAACTTCTGCTTTTTTATAAGCAAAGCACGGCTTGGGATAGTGAAAGTATTTTTATTTTATTTACATCTATATTGGACTTTTATTAATTTGTAAAATGCTTGGAGCTTATCTTTTTAATTCTTTTAATTTTTGATCAAAATATCCAAAAATATCCTGTTTTATAGTTATTTTTTCATTCTGAGGTTTCCTATGTTTGTTATCTATCGTTGCCAAGTTATACAGAGCAATGATGTATCATGATAAAGCTTTTTTAAAAAAGTTTGTTGAAATGATAATGGTTGTGAAATGATTCATCTAACCATAGATAAATTCTCACAAAAGGAATGTGATCTGAAAGCATTAGATTCATTGGAAAGAAATATGAACTCCATAGACTTAGTCTCTTAATGCTTTTTCAAGAGGCAACTGGACTTTCTGATTTTTCTTTAGACATTTTGCTTCTCATCCAAGAAGCTTCTTCAGGTCTGTTTCTTGGACGAGAAGTGAAACATCTTAAAAAAAATAAAGTCCAGTTGCCTCTTGAAAAAGCACCTTTGGGGCAACCATGACCTGGATGATTAAGAATCTCCCTAGACACCTATATACTTAGAATTCACAGATTTAGAGCTTTTGAGTTGATTTCACATGCCTCTCTGACGTTCAAGCTGAATTTGTTTACAACAGCAGAAACCTGACTGCGTGGAGAAGTGACAAATTACTTTTCTCTAAGAAGATTAAGGAAGATTGGGAAATGGATTTATCACATTAAACTGCAAAACAATTCCATCTGGATTTTTTGGGGAATGTAGACCAATTTTGGAGATTGGATTTATCAATTGCTGCCTGGTTAAATATAATAAGAGATGGTATTAAGAAATAAACATGAATATATGATCTAGGACAAATCACTGTTATCTTTTGGACGATTTGCGATAGATAAGATGCCATGGTAAATTTTCAACTTGATAATAGTAACAGTTTGTTAACAGTTTTGAAACTTTAATCTTGCCTTTCTTATTATTTTTGTTCTTCCTGTTAACTATTTGCTCATTAATATAGTATATAGGTTACTATATACTATATGCAGTATATAATGTATATAATACAGGCTAATAAATAGATTTAGTATTGCAAGTAGATTTAGTATTTAAAGATTTGAGGGGGGCTGTTTGCAAAGGGTGAAAATTAATATTATTATATATTAATCAGAATTCAATTAGGGGAGATAATATGTGTTAAGTTTTTTTTTAAAGCAGTTTTTTAAAGTCTTGTTTTATGTTCTTTTTGTCTGTTCTTTGAAAAAAAATTTTTTTTAATTTTCTGTTTGTATTTTGTATTTTAACTAATTTTTTGTATAAAATAAAACTAGAAAGAAAAAAAGTTATTTTCAGAATTCAAGTTATTCATTTTAGCATAAACTTTAAACATATTAGGATCTGAGTAGCTGGGAGATCATTTATTCTCATTATGAGCTTGCTTGGATATTAATATGGTGGCGCAGCAGACTAAAGCACTGTTATTAACGTCAGCTGCCTGCAATTACTGCAAGTTCAAATCTCACCAGACTCAAGGTTGACTCAGCCTTCCATCCTTTCTAAGGTAGGTAAAATGATGACCCGGATTGTGGGGGCAATAAGCTGACTTTGTATAAATATACAAAAGTATGAAGGCTATTGCTTAATGCATTGTAAGCCGCCCTGAGTCTCCGGAGAAGGGTGGCATATAAATCAAATAATAATAATAATAATAATAATAATAATAATAATAATAATAATAATAATATAAATAAAAAATAAATAAAAGCCTTCTTAAAGCTATCCCTATTTTCAAAAATGTGCTTGTTGGACATATGGGAAAGAACTTTTCTCTATATGGCCATCAATCCATGAAAGACCTGAACTTCCATTCTTTTCATCAAGAGGTCATAGAAAAGATTGCAACTCCTCTTTAACAAGATTTTTGGCACTTAATTGACAGTAATTGTAGATAACATTTTATTTTATTGGATTGTTTTGAATGCCATATTGATAAAAATATTACTTTAGAAAAATAAATAAATAACAATGCTTTCATTTCTTCACATGTACAAATATTTTTTTGTTATTTAGTCCTCATTTTTCATATCATTTTACTTTAACTTTCTCATTTTTCTAGAGCACTTTGACTTCACAAGCAAAATGCTTGACTTTGTTGCCCCTTGGAACTGTTAACTCCTCATCTCTCAATTCTCAAAAAATCGTAAGTCAGTGTGGGCCTCCAGTTGTTACCATTACACATCACAAATCTCCTGTGGTAGCCCGAAAAACCAAACCTCAGTACCCCGGCCAGCTTCATGGAGTCAGAGAAGTAAGAATTATGTGAAATTCTTCTATGGGTGAAAATGTGATGTAATCTCTGGAGTACATGGTTACATAATTATTTAGACCTTTTTTCTTCTTAGTACTATATGATACTATAAAATTTAACACTAATAATTTGTCTTAATGGTTGAAATTCTTACAAGCTAAGAACTTACAACTAAAGAACTTACAACTTTTACTAAGTTGTATTGGTAAAGGATTTATGTAAAGCAAATGTTTTGAAGTGTTTTGGGCTGCTAAACTTAATTGGAGTTTCAAGTGCATTTTAGGGATATTCTCACAAAATCTCTGCCTTGGTAAGACTGGACAATCATAAAATAAAAAAACAGGTCCTATATTTGTATGTGTGTATTCATTCTTTTTGGAGGGAAAAAAGTGTCCCATTGTGGCAGCTTGCAGGTTATGTGAGAGATTTAAACCCTAATTCTGTAGATTTTACATTTTTAAAAAGATGAATCTTTGTCTTTCAGTATTAGACATTTATAATAATAATGTTCAGTATTTGATGAAGGAAGAAACTAGAATAATGTGGATTCAATTTAATATTTTGCCTTTGAGGCAGAATTATATGCTTTCATGGATTTGTCAAATACTATTCTGTTTCAAATGTCCTTATGTTTTCAAACTTCAAAAGAAAAAAACCCAACCAAACTGCAATTATTGTTTTCCAATGCAAAGTAATGAACATGTAATGGTAATTATTTCTTAAAAAGGGAAAGCCTCAACAGTGAAACTTTTTGCTAATGGAATTGTGGCTTGAATACTTCATAAAGAGTCAAAACATTGAGGTTATTGATGGTAAATTTTTAAATATAATGGGAAAAACTTTAACAAAATTTTTGAAAGGATTTGCATTTGATACATTACATAACAGTTGAATTTCAAACCTACCACATAATGTACCAAGGTTTGGGTAAGGCAATTCTCTTTTATATAAATTTTGTGTCTTTGCTATTTTCCGTTAGTCCAATTTCTTATAAAATAATCAAATTATAAGTTGTGCTAACATACCTTATAATTGGATTTGAAATTTTAAAGTTGTTAGGGTACCTAACTAAGTTAGGTTGCCTCTCTTAAAAATCAAAGCTATATATTATGACTACTTAAATTCAGGCTTTATAGAATGTTATCTACTTAGTAGTACAGTGTTGGCAGTTGAAGTTAGATTAAATATGTCAGCAACATATCAAGGCAGTAGCTATTATGTCAGTTGTTATTGTTTTAATGCAGGGTGAAGATGAGCGGCATTATTTGTTGGCTGGTAATGATTTTTAAATTAGAATGTATCATGCATGTTCTCATAAGAAGCTGTCTATAACCAAAATAATTGGTAATGTAGAGATAGCCAATAAGAAAGCATCTGTTTTCCAGATGAGAGACTGTTAAGATGGCTTCCTGCTACCTGTCTAGTTCTCAGAATAGTTTCTACTAACCTAGCTCAATTTTATCTGTTTTTTCGTTTAAGGATGCTTATGGAATCTGTGTTGTTCCAGATAGGTTTTTGGAAATAAAGATCATGCCAAATCTGATTTTTTTTAAAAAAAAAACAAAGGTTCTTAAACTTTTTCTGTTGCACTGCATTTAGTATAATCTTACATCCATTAAGTACTCCTTAAAAATCCAAACACCAAAATGAACACAAATGAACAATAAAAAAAATACAATGAAACTTTGGGGAAGTTGGTTTTATTGTAACAATATGCAGGTAAAAGGTATTTCATACCACCTTTGAACTCTATATGCATCTAATTATAATCTTTGTATACATTTTGATTCTGAGAAACACTTTCTAGGGGTAATGAAGAAACCAATCTCGCTACCTAGTAACAGCATTCTCCCAATTGTTAGACCAAGATGCAGCCTTTACACATACATTAAACCGATTGCCCAATCCACTCCATACATAAGCAAACCATATCCAGATTTTAACAGTTTCCCATTCTTTACTATTATAATAAAGAATAGTAAAAGAAATTACTATTTTTTTCTATCTTTTCGAAGTGTTTATGAGTTTATCACTGTATTTGTATTAAAATCTTTGTAATAGTTCTTTTAGCATTTTCTCACTTCATTTCATTCCAAATCATTATGAATCTTTATTTTTAGTTTTAGTCATTGTACTATGGGCACATTTAACTTTCTCCACATATTTCATAGCACTTTTTATTTCCATCAGAGTTGCCCTTTCTCTCCTTTTAAGTGTTTCTGTTCTCTTTTAGTATATTTTTTGTAACCATGTTTTACCTATTTTCACATTATATAACTCTCTGTTATCCTCATTTCTGCAGCATTCTCTTATATATATATATGTTGCATCATTCACAGTCTCTTTTACTTCATCATTTCACCAAGGATCCATTTTCATACTTGCCATTAGATTAAGTTCTCTGACTTCTATGACATTCTGTAATGTAATTCTCTTTACTCTGTTCCAAGCAATTTCCACATTCTTTATCCTTGCATTCATTTTCTGTTTATTCACTTGGGAAATTAATCTGTCCTTCAATACTTTTTTTATAAAGGACTCTAATTTGCTTATCCATTAGACAGCTTTTGCTATATTTTACTTCTTATTCAATTATATTGCATTATATTGCATCTCGAGAATGGGATGCCCTGGAATTAACTTTTTGTGAAATTAGATTTTGTATTTATATAAATTTAAATAAAATATATATTTGCAGATTATGGCCCAAGTGGAAGGACAACAGAAGAATCTTGTGCAAAGCATTGAATCCCTTCCAGGTTCTGGTTCTCTTTCTGCCTTTGATCAAGACTTGCTGCTTTTAAAAGCTACCTCTGCTGCTGCTCTCAGTTGCCTGGGAGAATGCCTGCATTTGCTTCAACAGAATATAAGCCAAGTGAGCGCACCCCGGAACAGGACATTACCTTCAGGTGTGTAAAGTTGGCTGGTTTCTTTCTTTCATTTTGTCCCTTACAGCCCATGTGGTAATTGTAGTTGCCATATGACTAGAGTTTTCCAGCTACATGGTAGATGAAAACTTCATGTGGTTTTTAGTCAAAATATATCAAAAGGGGATCATGGAAACTCAGTGAATAACAAACTATGCCAATATTAAAATTTATTTTTAGCTTGAGAATAACATGAAAGTCATTTAAACAGTATTTACCGTATTTTCCGGCGTATAAGACGACTGGGCGTATAAGACAACCCCCAAATTTTCCTGTTAAAATATAGGGTTTGGGCTATACTCGCCGTATAAGACTACCCCTCTTCCAACGCACACCAAATAAAAATTAAAAAAACATCAACTGGCTCACCCACAATGTAAAAGCAGCTGTGCTAGACCCAAAATGGCCCCTGAAACAAGCAGGAATCTCACACAGCCACAAAAAGCCACAAAAAACAACTTTCACACTTTACACACACACAACACAACACAACACAACTGGCTCATCCACAATGTAAAAGCAGCTGTGCTAGACCCAAAATGGCCCCTGCAACAAGTAGGAACCTCACACAGCCACAAAAAGCCCAAAAACCCAACTTTCACACTTTACACACACAAAATTCCACATACAGCTTTGTGAGATTTTGTGTGTTTGTGTAGTTAGAGTGAAACACTACAGAAACACACTAAATCTCAGAAAGCTGCACAAATATTATTTTATTTTATTTTATTTTTATTTTTATATGAAAGCTAAATTTAAAACTTCCTAAACTTTAAATGGCTAGGTCTAAAAAAGAACAACTAAAAAAAAACCCAATTAACTATTTTTTTTTTAAAGATCCCAAAGGGGAAAAAAACTTACCCAATAGAACAGGGGTCTCTAACCTTGGCAACTTTAAGACTTGTAGACTTCAACTCCCAGAATTCCTCAGCCAGCTTTGTTTTGCTGGCTGAGGAATTCTGGGAGTTGAAGTCCACAACTCCCTGCCTGCTTGATTGCAGGCAGGGAGTTGCTTGCTGATGGAATGGATTCAGGCAAGCGAAGCAAGGCAAGCAGCTAAGGCAGTGGTTCTCAACCTTCCTAATGCCGCGACCCTTTAATACAGTTCCTCATGTTGTGGTGATCCCCAACAATAAAGTTATTCCTAAAACCATCAAAAATATGTGTTTTCCGATGGTCTTAGGCCAGGGGTCCCCAACCTTTTGGACCTCAGGGACCATCAACTTCATAATTTTAAATTTTGCGGACCACTAATACAAATCCAGTGCACTGCTTGCTGAAGCACCTGGACTCCCAGTACGGGATGGGGTCCTTCAGGCACTCTCCCTCCTGTCTGTCTCTCTCTCTCTGTCTCCCACTCTTTCTCTCTCATTCTCTCTTTCTCTCTCTCTCATTTTTGCTCTCTCTCTCTCCCTCTGTTTCTTTCTCTCCCACTCTTTCTCATTCTCTCTTTCTCTCTCCCCCTCTCTCATTCTCTTTCTCTCTCCCCCTCTCTCATTCTTTCTTTCCCCCACTCTTTCTCTCTCTCCCCCTCATTCTCTTTCTCCCCCCTCTTTCTCATTTTCTCTCTCTCTCTCTCATTCTCTCTCTGATTCTTTGATTCTCTTTGATTCTCTGTCTCTTTCTCTGTCTCTCATTCTCTCTCTCTCTCTCTCTGATTCTCTCTGTCTCTGTCTCTTTCTCTCATTCTCTTTCATTCTGTCTTTCTCTCTCTTTCTCTCTGTCTCACTCTGATTCTCTCTCATTCTCTGATTCTTTGATTCTCTTTGATTCTGTCTCTTTCTCTGTCTCTCATTCTCTCTCTCTCACTCTCTCTCTCTGATTCTCTCTGTCTCTTTCTCTCATTCTCTTTCATTCTGTCTTTCTCTCTCTTTCTCTGTCTCACTCTGATTCTCTCTCTCTCATTCTCTCTTTCATTCTTTGTCTCTTTCTCTCTCTGTCTCATTCTGATTCTCTCTCTTTCTCTCTCATTCTCTCTCTCTCTCTCATCTCATGGGCCAGCCAGTGTCTTGGGGCTGAGAGGAAGTCAAGCATCTCCCTGAGAGACTGAGGGCCGAAAGAAGTGTGGGAGCGAAGCACTACTTGAACTTGTGCGGCATGAGCATTCGCCTTGGTATATTTGCGCCAGCCGATGGCCAAGGCAGCCCTCATCTGTCTGCTGAAAGTGCAGCATCAGGATTCTGCCTTGCTATATTTGCGGCGCAAGGCAGCCTTTGTTTCCTGCTGCTTGGGACTCAGAGCGGTAAATAGCGTCTGATCCGGAGAGCAGCTGGATTTTGCTCTCTAATCCGGATGCCAGATCGGCCCCCTGCAAACTCTCGTCTCTCGAGGAGCGCCCCTGAAGCGGGGCTGGAAACTTTGGTTGGACTGTTTGAGAGAGGAGAGCTTGCAGGGGGGCGATTTGGTGTCTGCAATGGAGAGCGGCATCCGGCTTTTTCTCTCCGCTGTAAGAGCGCTGTAAGAGCGGCAGCCCTCATCTCCTAATGCTTGGGACTCGGACCGGTAAATGGTGACTGGTCCGGGGAGCAGCTGGATTTTGCAGTCCCAAGCATTAGGAGATGAGGGCTGCCACTCTTACAGCGCTCTTACAGCGGAGAGAAAAAGCCGGGTGCCACTCTCCATTGCAGACATGAGATCGCCCCCCTGCAAGCTTTCCTCTCTTCAAGCAGTCCAACCAAAGTTTCCAGCCCCGCTTCAGGGAGCGCTCCTCGAGAGACGAGAGTTTGCAGGGGGCTGATTTGGCATCTGGATTAGAGAGCAAAATCCAGCTGCTCTCCGGACCAGTCACCATTTACCACTCCAAGTCCCAAGCATTAGGAGATGAGGGCTGCCACTCTTACAGCGCTCTTACAGCGGAGAGAAAAAGCCTGATGCCGCTCTCCATTGCAGACATGAGATCGCCCCCCTGCAAGCTTTCCTCTCTCAAGCAGTCCAACCAAAGTTTCCAGCCCCGCTTCAGGGAGCGCTCCTCGAGAGACGAGAGTTTGCAGGGGGCCGATTTGGCATCTGGATTAGAGAGCAAAATCCAGCTGCTCTCCGGACCAGTCACCATTTACCACTCCGAGTCCCAAGCATTAGGAGATGAGGGCTGCCGCTCTTACAGCGCTCTTACAGCGGAGAGAAAAAGCCGGATGCCGCTCTCCATTGCAGACATCAGATCGCCCCCCTGCAAGCTCTCCTCTCTCAAGCAATCCAACCAAAGTTTCCAGCCCCGCTTCAGGGAGCGCTCCTCGAGAGACGAGAGTTTGCAGGGGGCCGATTTGGCATCTGGATTAGAGAGCAAAATCCAGCTGCTCTCCGGACCAGTCACCATTTACCACTCCGAGTCCCAAGCATTAGGAGATGAGGGCTGCCGCTCTTACAGCGCTCTTACAGCGGAGAGAAAAAGCCGGATGCCGCTCTCCATTGCAGACATGAGATCGCCCCCCTGCAAGCTCTCCTCTCTCAAGCAATCCAACCAAAGTTCCAGCCCCGCTTCAGGGAGCGCTCCTCGAGAGACGAGAGTTTGCAGAGGGCCGATTTGGCATCCGGATTAGAGAGCAAAATCCAGCTGCTCTCCGGATCAGACACCATTTACCACTCTGAGTCCCAGGCAACAGAAGAGGAGGGCTGCCTTGCGCCACTCCTGACACAAATATACCAAGGCGGAATGCTGTTGCCGTACAAATGAAAGTAGTGCTTCACTCCCACAGCTTCCAGCCATCGCAAACGCCGCTTCTTCCCGCTTCTGCCGCCCCCTCCCCCACCGCCACAACAGCACCATTCATTCCGGATGGCGAGGGCTGCGCTCGTTTTTCTGTATTGCACCACCTGCAAAACCCCTGTGAAAGGGTTGTTTGGCCCCCAACCACTGAGCTAAGGTAAGCAAGCCAGAGGGGGAAAAGTTTTTCCCTTCTCCGTGGCTCTGGCGGTCCCAGCTGAATTGCCTGATTAGCAGGCAAAGCTGGGATCATCAGAGCTTAGATCGCCAGAGCCATTTAAGGCTCGTCAGTCTTTCGGGCTGGTCTGCCTGGTTACAGGAGAATGACACCCGGTGTATAAGACGACCCCCGACTTTTGAGAAGATTTTCATGTGTTAAAAAGTCGTCTTATACGCCGGAAAATACGGTATACATATCCCTGAGAGAGAAAATCATAAAGATGTTTTTGCCAATAATATATGAATATATATTATTTTTGACATTAGATTAATTCAAAGAACTATAATGAAGATGTTGAATTATAGTTCTAAATGTATCCCATTGCTTATGTGAAGGTGCTCAATTATTTAGCTATTCTTGCTTTTAATTTTTTAAAATGATGAGGTAATTGTATCTTTCTAACGTACATCTGTCTGTCTGTCTGTCTGTCTGTCTGTCTGTCTGTCTGTCTATCTATCTATCTATCTATCTATCTATCTATCTATCTATCTACCTATCTATCTATCTATCTATCATCCATCTGATATACTGTCTCCCCAATAGACAGCCCTGGGTGGCTTACAGAACATAAAAAGATAAATAGAAAAGCAATTAAAAAATTAAAACTATGCAGAAAAACTGGAACCAAGGAGATGGATGGTTTGGAGATAAGATTTTTTTTACCCCATCAACCATCTCTAGCAGCGAGTGCCCCTTTGGAGTCCAAAGAAAACGGGCAAACCCAGGTTTTAATACTCTTCTGGAAGGCCAAATAGGTGGGAGCAGTTCTTTGATGGAAGAGTATTCCACAGGGTCAAGGTCATAGTGGAAAACACTCTTCTCCTTGACTCTGTCTGCTGGAATCCCTTAGCTGACAGGCTCCATAACAGGACTCTTCCGCTGGTGCAAGTGGGGTGGTTTGCCAGTTGCATTAGAGTAAGATGGCTCCTCAAATACTCTGGATCCATATCATGTATGGCTCCAAAGGTAATAATCAATACCTTGTATTGGACCTGGAAGCAAACTGATAAACAATGCAGCTTGTGTAACAGCAGTGTTATATGTGCCACCCTAGAGGCCCCC